ACCTCGGTGCTTTCTCCGCACATTTCTTGTGATTCTTACTCAGTTCTGAAATCTTCTAATCTTGTTTTGATTTGTATCCCCTAATGTATTTGTTCATTTACTTCCTTCAATAAATATATCTGTCCATATATCTTACCATATTCTATGGTAAGAAAGATGAAGTAATCTCCCTTATCAGAATTACTTATTCCTTGCTTCTGCTCACCTAGTAAGCTTGGCCGCATCTCCTCTTAGTTTTTTTTACTATTGCTTACATTACTCTTTGTTTACTGTAGAGCCATTGTTTCACCCAACAGCCTGTTTACAGACTAGATGAACCCCCCGCTTTGGTGGTGGGGGGGACGTACTGTCTGGTCCAAGATCTAAATGGCACTTCTGAGCACTATTAACAGTTTATTTTTATGTGCAAGAAGAAAAGCTCTCTTAAACTGGCCCGAGATCAGAGATCCACGGAAATTAATTTACACTCCTCTCAGCTGCACTGAATGGACTCAGAATTGAGCGGTGATTTTTCTCTGTACATGAGGGATAATATCAGCAGCTTCCTGAGCTCCAGCTGCTGTGGACAAAGGACGGCAGAGTTACAGCGATTCCTGGAGGGAGGAACTTTAAGATGGAGGAATTCTAAAGAATGTGAAGGACAACCTCTTAAAAAAAATTGTAGGTGGAGCAATTCCAGGTCATCCAAACACTTCCAAAGCCCAAGATTTATTTTCCTACTTTGAACTAGTTGCTGTTGTGGCGTTTATCTTTTGTGCTTTTTAACACATCTACTGTGACCTTTGTATGATTGCATAAATTGGCCCGAGTCTGCTGGAACAGTTATTAGGAACCCCTTTCTTGTGTTGTTTCCTGAATTCCCACATTGTGGCGTGATGTGTGTATGGAAACTGCTCGCTTCCTCCACTGGCAGCCGTTCAGATGTGCTGGAGCTCCTGAGGACTGGGCTGGGCGGGGAGCCGGGTGAAGGGAGGATGCAGGGGGAGAATATTTTAAGGAAGAGAATGTGGATTTCGTACATCTTTGTTCTTTTCCAGTTCCGATAAAGCTGTTATCTCCGGTTGTGTGGGTTAAACATGAACGGTGCTAGTGCTCTGTAGAATAAACAGCGGCAGATGAGTTGAGGTTAGTATGCCTCGGGCAAGGCTAGCTGCTTTTCAGTGTCTGCATTAAGCAATATTTTTACTTTCCTGGTGAACTCTACCTTCTCTCTTTACTGCTCACTGTTTTCTTTTAGCGTGTGGGAGGGAGACAGGATGTGTGATCGAAGCGTAGTTTATAACTCTATAACGCACTGTAGCTATATATTTCCCTTACAACTCCACCCCAGAAATCTAGCAAATATGTGCTTCATTAGCTTGTTCTGCGTTGTCTTTTTTTGCATATGCAAACTGTAAGGTTATGGGATGTTAATGAACTGTTTACATGTGTTTCTGCATTTGTTCCACTGAAATGTTCCAATGAATGAATGTCAGTTAGGAGGGGGAAAAAAAAAAAGATGTTTATATATGCTGCATTTGGGATTTCTGAAATTTGACTTCCTGAATTTTTTTCCAGATCTTTCTTTTCAACGTTAACAGTTGGGAATGTTGGAAAGGATGTGTTTGCTTAGAGCAATTAAAAGGTAAAGGGCTGAATTGTGTTATGTCTTCTCACACGAAAAGCCCTAATGAACTCCAGTAGGCCAAGTTTCACAGTGCAAAGATTTGACATGTAGCCAGTTTTTGCACATTTAGTACTGTTGGAAACTGGTGTCATTTTACGGCCAAACCTCACCAAACTGGGAACATTTGCATGGTCAGGCCTTAGCATATTGTCAGGCACGGACACACCGTAAAAGCTTCTCTCTTTTTTTTTTTTGTTTTGTTTTGTTTTGCTCTTTCTTGAAATTACAAATTAGTGTACGGGCGCTGGGAGACAAGTAGAAGCTGTCGCTCAGAGTTCACAGACAGGAGTGACCTCGCTGGGGGAGGATTGCAGCCCATTGTATGCCAAAGCCAGAGGAGGAGGTGGATTGTGGGAGAGGCAAAGTACTGTTGTTTGTACACAAATACGTCCCTATTGAAGGACCAGTTTGTTATCTGGGGCCTTGTTTAGAGGGGGGACTTGCCCCCCACTGGCATCAGACTAGGAGAAGGTAACGTTGCTTGCCCCATTTCAGAGCCCTCTGACACAGAGGTTGGTGCTGCTGCAGGGATGAGAGCATTATTGCCATTGCCAAGTGCTGATAGGTCTTCCAGAACAGGGAGAGTGGCTTCACCCTTTCTTTATATCAACATTTTGGGATCCTTCGACTGGCCTTCTTTGAAGGAGAGACATGCAGAAAGGTGATATGTTCATGCTTTTCTTTAAAGGTTGTTAGGTGTTTAAAGCCAAACTATTTTTTAAGTTGAAATTCTACAGCGTGATTTCCAGGCACTAAAGCCTTTGAACAAAAAACACCTCTGAATGTGCTACCATCTTTTATCATGTGGTAAAATCATAAAGCACAGCACAGTGGAGCCCCCAATGTAAGAAGGACATGGACCTGTTGGAGTGAGTCCAGAAGAGGCCATGAAGATGATCAGAGGGCTGGAGCACCTCTGAGGACAGGCTTGGAGAGTTGGGGTTGTTCAGCCTGGAGAAGAGGAGGCTCCAGGGGGATCTTATAGCCCTTTCCAGTACCTAAAGGGGCTACAGCAGAGATGGGGAGGGACTCTTGATCAGGGAGTGGAGCGATAGGATGAGGGGGAATGGTTTAAAGCTGAAAGAGTGGATTTGGATTAGATCTTAGGAAGAAATTCTTTACTGTGAGGGTGGTGAGACACTGGCCCAGGTTGCCCAGAGAAGCTGTGGATTTCCCATCCCTGGAGGTGTTCAAGGCCAGGCTGGACAGGGCCTGGTCTAGTGGGAGGTGTCCCAGCCTGGGGCAGGGAGGTTGGAATGAGGTGATCTTTAAGGTCCCTTCCAACTATGGTTCTGTGAAAATCGCGGTGGCATTTGGGGAAAATACCAAAGTCTCTTCCATCTCCTCTTTCCACACCAGCCGCTA